CATTGTACATAGTCATTTTATTCAACACAATATTGATAACAGCTTTAAAAGTCCAGTGTGTAGGATTTAGTGGCATCTAGTAGTAAACTTACAGATTGCAAATAACTGAATACCGCTGGCATCTGTATTTAATGATCTAGGAATGAGAACAGGCTTGGAAGTGTGAAGGAGAAACAAACAAAAAACACAAAAGGCCTATCTACAGCCAGTGTTTGGTTTGTCCAGTCTGGGGAGTGCAACATAGCGGACTCCATAGAAAGCCCTGTAGATATAAATGTCTCATTCTAAGGTAACGAAAACACAACAAGTCTTATATTCAGGTGATTGTACACTTATGAAAACATAGCGATGAATATTATATTTATATAAAGATAGCCACACAGTTATAACTCTTAAACTGCAGCTCAACTTGAGTCTAACGAATGTGTATCTTAACCAAGGTTAATACTTTTATTACTGTATGTCAACCCTGGTCCATCAGTCGTCAGTGCTCTCAAGGTTAAGGATTTACAGTTGAATCTTCAGACAGCTCACAGTACATAAGACAAGAGAACTAAAGTTAATAAATGTTTGCTTTTGTTCTGACCTTGATTCACAAGTGTTTAGGCCATGTTCAGACCAAAAATAGCACTGCCTTTAAGAAACTCAGGGGGCTGCACTGATGTGGGTGTGTTGCAGAACCGGTGAAGATGACATACAATACACGAAGTCCAGTTTGACTAATACATAATTCGTTTGAAGGTTAAAACACTGCGTTCTGAGTTATAATACTGCAAGGCAAAATTTTAAAACTCTGGGAACTCAAAAGCAACAGTCACTTTCTCTCAAAATTTGGAAGGACTTAACCTGGGTTAGGCTCAGTTTAACACTGAGGATATTCCAGGAGTCCAAGTTAAAAGTGTGAAATAACAGTTTGAGAGCTGTAATCTTCGGGCAAATGTGGGTCTTAGGGTAGTGTGAAAAGTCTTAATACTATAAATTCTGTTATCTTCATCTCTTTATGGCTCTTGGTCAGTGGCAGAGGGCAATATTTAATGAGATGGAAGTGGGTACGTGCTGCACTGCTACACACTTTTGGGGTCTGTAGGTATATAATGGAACAGCAGTTCTGTGTGTTGGGAACCTGGATGTGACAGACCAAACTCAATGCCTGCTGGGTTGTGCCTGCAGGTGGGGATGGGGTTGGAGGGTCACAACAAACAGCCCAGGGCCCTTAACAAATGAGTCTGGCCTTGGCACCCTCTATGCCCCATCTTTACAGTGGTGATGTAAGGGCATTCTCACAGACAATTCTACACTAAAGGATATAGGTAAACTGTGTCTCTGCCATCATATTACAGGTAATTTATACTGACCGGATCAATGGATGATTATAGACAGTTGTGTGAAATACAAAAGAGTCTCAGACAGGAGGAGGCAATAAATCAAAGCAGCCATCACTGTGACACTGTTTCATTTCATCCAACACTACACTGAGCATCAGTTTAAGACATAAATGACAAAAAAGAGGAGGGACACAAAGAGAAATCCCTCTCCAGGTTGCTTAGGAACCTTTTGGCAAAGTGACAAGATCTCATTAAGAATGAGATACCGTGATGCTCAAACCCTTAACAGCCGAGCCCCTTGAGAGGGACGCAGAGAAGATGAATAACATACAACAGAGCTTCTTCATCTTGTTTAAATATCAGTAAAGGAAACACAGAGCACATTTTGTCACTGCGCATATGATACATCCTTAAATACGGTCAGCAGCAACTAGCAAGCCCTGTCATACCCCTCACTGATTCTATTAAAGCTGCAGTAGGTATTTTATTTATAAAAAAATAACTTTTTGTAATATTTGCTGAAACTTCCACTATATCCTGACA